TTCATTGCAAGGCAGGATTTCTAGATTACAAATAATCATTTTTGCATGCTTTCCAAATTCAGCATTTTTTATTTTAAAGCCTGGTCACCAGAACTTAACAGAGCAATGGTTTGGCCATTATCTACAGGTAAGAAAAATGCAGTTTCTGACTTCTTACTGAGTAGCCTGCTGTTGGAAAATAGGCGTCTTTCAGCATCCTTAGGAGAAGTGCTAATAAATATAACTGATATGAAAATGAAACGTAGCAATGTGATGGATTGAAAATATGGTAGAAGATATTTCAAAGTGTAAATATCTGTGCTTTTGTTTATCTTTAAGAATAGAAATTGGAGTGTACTAAAATGTGACATGTGAGATCATATTAATCAGTGGAAGTGTACAAACCTGATTATTTATCACAGCGTTGTTTTTAAAGGAACTCTGACTTCTATTTGCCTCTTACTTACCTAACACTGTTGCTGTTAAACAGTGTGTTCTCTTTGGGGTTTATTTGCTTGAAATACATGTTGCTTTGTATATTAAATGTAATACATAATAATTTAATTATCAGACAAAATACTGGTACTATTGCTTGTTACAGGGAAAAAATAAAGACCTTATTTCCAGATCATTATAATTTATTATTACTAACTAGTTTATCTGCTTATCAGCTACCTGTCTGCAAACAGCTCTGAATGCAATAGATGTTTGTTGACTATTGTTTAAAAATAGCTATTATTGACTTTCCTTTTATTAATGTAAATGTTAGGATAGTTTTATCTCTTTTTCTTCAAGTTGTAATTTCCCTGGGTTTTCATTACAGACCTTCCACTGTCCTAGTCCCTAATTCTTATGTTCCAGTGAGAGATCCCAACTTCTTTTTGTGACTGTATTGGAGCTCTTTGAACATGCCCCATTTCACCTCTGATTTGGTTTTGCAGAATCTGCTTTGTACCTTAGTATATCCCTTAGCTCTGTTCTTCTGCAAACACCTAGAAGCTGCTTCTCTTGTATATAGTTTATAGCTATGGCATCTAAATGTCATAAATCAGATGACCACAGACAGACACCAACACTTTCACCTTCTCTGTGTTAGTTTTTCCTTAGTTTGTTTCTTCCTCTTTCTCATGATCATTTGCCCCAGAAACACACCTCCATTTTTAGCTTTCCCCCCCTCACTTTTCTCCCTCACACATGACAAGGTTGCAGTAGAGAAGGTTGCTCTTTCAGGAGAGGACGTTATTAAACCAGTAGCCCTAAACATCAGTCTAGGATGCTTTCTGGGATCTTCCTAACCACAATTCTTTTGGGAACCTTTCCCAATCCCTGAAGTGGAGAGCATCACCTCAGCTTTTGTTAGCCATAGTTTATAGTTGGTTGGTCAAATAAACAATCTTCTACCAAACCTTATCCAATTACCCCAGACATCTGTAGATTAGGAGGAAGAGTCTAAAGAGGATCTTACAGAGATATGGGGATGCTTCTTTTCACTGGAGAGAGCTGCTGGTGTTTTGTACCCATCCCATGGCATTTACTGCCTATCCCAGACGTCATGCCTCATACAAGCACCAAAATGACGAAGAACTAACCTAGAGTGATAAAGTATGTAAAAAAAGAATAATCACAGAAATGGTAGAAAGGGCTTCTTGCTTTTAATTTGAGGAGCTGGCAGTGATTTGGCATGGCTGGGAGGACTCATGTTTTGCCATATTTGTGGTACAGCAAAGTGAGTCAAGGACAACATGCTTCTCAAACTAGCAAGCTTCCCAGCCTCATCCCTGGTTTCTTCCTGATTCTTCCCTGTTCCTACTGACCTTGCCAAACCCCATGGCATGAGCCCAGCGGAGCCTGTGATGCTGCAAGGTCATGGATCTCCAGGCTGCAAAGCATCTCCCTCAGTAACCAGTGCTGTCTGGCTCTGCAGCCTCATACATCCTTGATAGCAGTGATTTTGCCTCACAATCTCCACTTGTGAAAGCCCTAGGTGAAACAGAGAGTATTCCCTGTGACTCCTTGTCACTTACTGGAGATCGGTGGTGGGAGACAGGTTATAGACAAAGTCAGCCTGGAAGGAAAGAGTAGCTTATCTTCGTTTGAAACAGAGCCAAGAACAATATATCAATGTCCATACATATTTAACTCTAAGGACTGACTCAGGATTTGTCTTGCTGAGGTGCCGTTTTGGAAGTTGAGGTATGGAAGTAGTTTTCTTCAATATAAGTAGCTGCTATCAGAAGGTGATTGGTAGCGCTGTTGCTTTGCCTGTATTTTTGCTGCTTGTAGAACAGTTAATGCAGTGCTTTGCTGAAGTCTCATGTAATGCTGTTATGTTACCATGGCACACATACAAAAATAAAAGCACTGTTGTCAGGGTGATGTAGTCAAATTATTGCCACCCCATTTTTCCAGTATTCAGTTAAAAAAGATGTAATTTTTTTTAAATGTTTCGACTTTAATGTCATTTGAACTCATGAAGGAAACAATAGCCAAGTGATAATATGCAAATTCACATAAACAAGGTAGTATGAACTGAAGAGAAAGCAATGAAAAATAGCTTTGTCATTCAGGTTCTGCTAGGGACAATGGTGAGAAAGGAGGACAGTGTTTTGTAATGATGAGAACCACTTTGATATTATTGCTTGAAATAGCTGCAAGCAGGAGCCATAGATAATAATAATCCTCAAACTGTAGAGGTTGAAAGCTCCAAGAAGCCCAGAATGACTGCAGCTGCCTTGAGTGATGGTGGAACAAAGCCATATAGTTGTGAATAGTTTATGCAGATGAAATATAATCACAGAGTCAAAATGTGTAGTCATCAGGTTTGAGATCCAAGAAGCAGGTGGTTCACGTCTATCTCAGCATTTTGGAGGGGTTCCCTGGCATCAACCACCTCAAAGAATCATAGACTAAAGAAACAGTTTTGATATCTACAATTAGATAATACAAGGGCACCATCACTTCAAACACAAAATTATTCCTTGTCTCTGGTCTTCTCCAGACATTCAGTGAGGCAGATTGTTCCTGTTTCATAATAATGCCTCAGAACTCAATGCCACTTTTTTCTGGAAGTGCTAAATGGAAGCTAATGACAGAGAGGAAATTATTTCCAAGTTTTGCAACTGGCAACCATTACCAGAGGATCCATGAGCTTTTCAAATCCATTTTTCTGTATTTTAAATCATGGTTTGTCAAGAACTAGGCAACCAAATGTGTAGAGAACGTGGCCAAGGTAGCCCCCTGGTCCTGAATTATTTAGGACCTGATCATAGCATTTGCAGATCTCCTTACTGTTTATAAAAAAGAACTGCATTAAAAAATTTTACCAATAATGTTCTGCTTTTGTATTCCTGGAAGAAAATGACCACTTTAATTATTAAAGTTTTAATAGCCCTGCAGTTTCAGTGGCCACTTAGTATCCCTGTACTGTGATGGGGTGTCTTAACTTCTACCAATCTTAAGTATTGCAGAACTGAATGCAGTTTTGCTGCCTCAAATTTGAGAGAAAGGAACACTTTAAGGAAGAAACACTAACAGTGTTGAATAAACAATCTTAGGACTTTTGACACGTTTCAATATTTTTCTATAGCAAATGAAAAATAATAAAATACCACGTGTATTGAGTATGGATCTGAAAGTGGTCCTCTTCCTTCTTGATTAAAGTAGAATTTTATTGATGAATTAGCAGATTATGTGATCAATTTTTTCATTTCTATTCCTAAGAAATAATTGAATATATGATCCAATGCGGCATTGAGTCTAGACAGCAGCAGCTGAGCAGCTACCCTTCCATTCTCCCTTTCAGTTGCCAACTTTAAAAATGCATAGCACATACTTAGTCAGTGAAAAATGGTGAGCCCAGGCATTGATCCATATTCTTTAAATCCTTTCATTATAAATTCTGTTATTAGAAATTAAAATCTTGGTATGCTGACATTTCACTCCAATTTCCTTACCTGCATATTCATGGCAATCATTAGCTATTCACTGCATGTTTGTGTTTAATAACCATTCTGTAATGCTGCCTTTTTTCCCATTTTTCATGGTTTAATTATTCCAGTTAGAAATGAATAAAACTGCCAGAAGACTAAGGAAATGGCTTCTTCATTATTTAGGTAATGATTGCCCATCACTGGTTAGACAAGTGGATTGGGATTCAGGTGGCCACATGTCAATATCTGCAATTTTGACCTGTGTGTTTAAGTTAGTCCTCCCAGGCTCCCTTTACGAATGAAGAGAAAAAAAGCATTTAATCCCAAATTCAGCTTTTGAAATTGATCAGATGATTTGCACCCTAAAAATGCTAGTTTTATTGACTGTATATGGAAACAAGAGAGACTAGCTTAGATGTTTGCTTTGTTATGTCCAGAAGTAGATGAGATGAATCCCATCCCTGTGCTCAAATTATTCATAAATGCTCACAGGTTTTGTGTGATGAAAATTCTGATATGAATGTACTGTGGCTGTGTTTCTTGATGTAAAGGACACAGTCCATTCAGTGCTCTGCACAGATGAGCAAGTCCTCTTCAGTGCAAGCACTGAAAGCAGTACAGTCATGTTAGGACTACATTTCAAATGGATTAGATTACCCTACTTTTCACCTTGGCTAAATAGTACCAGGGTATTAGCATGTCCACATTCTTTCCAGAACAGATCAGTTTGGGGAACAGCTTAATACTCTGATTGTAGACATACAGAGGTGCTGTTTGATATTTATGTTGGAAGATAAATGGAGTGGACTTGACCAGATTAGGTCCTGCTATGCAAGCAGTGTATATCACAGTACAGATAATAATACTTATCTTGCCCCAGCAAGCTTGGAAAGAGCTAGTTTATAAACAATAAAAAGGGAGGAACCTGAATGCAAATAGCGTTATTTAGGAATGGTGCATCGCAAGGGCCTCTTGCATGCAAGAGCGTTGAAAAAGGTGACAGGTGTTGAATATGGAGACATTTTTTTGGTTCTGCAGTTAACCTAGGACATTGCCTTAATGGTGGTTTTTCCTGTGGGTTCTTCCCCTTAGGATGATTTCCAGCATGCAGCCTCAGAAACCAACTGGGAGTCAGTCACAAGCTCTATTTCAGTAAGTAATTTGTTACTATTTTGCCCATGGATGAATTGATAGGATGGCTTGAATCCAGCTCACTAAAGTGGTGTCTGCACAGAGAAACCATGTATTCACCTTTGGCAGAGGATGAAATAAGTGTTTATCCAACTCCTACTGGAATCAACCAGTGTGTTTTTAAGGAAAAAAGACTGAGGATATGCCATCAGGTGTTGTAAGCATGAGACAGCTATTGGTAAACATATCTTGTTTTCAAACTCATCCTGTCAAGATGAAAATGGAAGGTACAAACTCCTTACAATTTTCAGTTGTAAAATATCTTGACCTAAGTAAATGATTATACTTAAAACACACCATCAGGAAAATGGATCTAGCTTTTCTTTGTCAATACTGAGATTTTTTTAAGTGTCTGTAATAGTATCTCTAAAGTCTCCATATTCAGCAATGAAATTTGACTTGGGAAAAAAAAAAAGAGAAAACAAGTAATCCAGTATAAAATCTTATTTTTCCTGTCATTAACATTTCTGTCATTGTCCAAAAAACTGTCACCTCTTTTCCCAATTATGTCCCAGTTAAATGTCCCAATTACAGTTGTATTTTGGGTCCACATTGTGGGTAATGGCAGTGTAGCATCAGAATTTATAATATGTGGAGTTCTCTTATAAACTGTTTTAAAACATGAGATGAGTATAAGCACTGAAAAGCAGACTTGAAACCAATGAGGAAAAAGTTTGGAGCATTCATGGAAGAAGGTTTTGTGATGGCCCCTTTGTTACAGTAGCTGCCAAGAGTTGCCAGTGGAGGAGCAGTAAATAGAATATGGATAAATTCCACTGATTAGTGTCCAAGGCAGTTAGTGGGTACAGAGAAAATTTTGTAATGCTGAAATTAAAAGAGGTTAAGCCACTCTCACTTGTGCTTACACTTGAGTTTGTAAATTACACTTGCGCTTCATTTTACAATGCATTGATAGCCTTGAACTAATTGTGCTGAAAGTCCTGAGTAGTAATGTTATCATGGCTGAGATCAACTGGATGTGCCAAGCCGGAGATGTTGAAACACTCGTTTACTGAAAGATATAAACTCATTTTTCATTCTAATATGGTGCTGGGAAAAAAATCTATGTACTAGAATATTTTGTTTAAAAATATGGTAGGCTGATGATTGAAAATGTAAGCTTAGGGCTCCCTCATCAGGTAACTGTGAAGATGAGATCAAGTATATGGTAAACGCCATGTTAGTTCTCCTCCTTAGCATCCTAAAGTGCACAATATGCCAACAATAATCCAGTATTTTTTTAATATTGAAAAGAAACCTGTTATTTGTCTTTCACATCTATTTGTTTCTGAAATTTGTTGTTAATGTATCACAGGTGAGAAAGTTCAGTACCCATATTACAGTAGCCCTTGATGCTCAAGGTCACGCAGAAACCTAGAGCTAAACCACAAATAGTACCCCAGTTTCATCCGTTTTCCCATGCTATCCACTATCTAATTAAACATAACTTTTTCTACTGAGCATACATTGCACCCACTTGCCCTTTCTTATCCTCAGGGAAAATAAGATAGGGAGGTTAAGTAATTTTTCCCAAAAGCACCAAGGAAAAAGTCTGAGGACCCAAATTTTTCAGGAGACAGCTTCAGGGATTCTGCTGTGGTCCTGAGAAGCAGAAAAACAAACTCAGACCTGTCCATGGCTGACAAGATCACATACTGTTCTGCTGATGCTCAGTAGGCATGGCAGATCTACGTTTTGCCCCTCAAACCCACAGGCAACCTAGAGACTCACTCCTTTGAAGATCTGGGTACATTACAACTCTAAAAATGAAAAATTGGGGGTGAGAAAATTTATTCTTCTTTGTCTGAGATCATATCACAGAACCATATTTTGGGTTTGTTTTTTTTTTCTCATAAAGTTTGCAGGGGGTTGTTGCGGCCCACGTGCAGGACCCGGCACTTGGCCTTGTTGAACTTCATGCAGTTGGCCTCAGCCAATCAATCCAGCCTGTCCAGATCCCTCTGTAGATCCTTCCTACCCTCAAGCATGTCAGTGGTGTCATCTGCAAACTTGCTGAGGGTGCACTTGATTCCCTCATCCAGATCATCAATAAAGATATTAAAGAGAACTGGCCCCAGTACTGAGCCATGAGGAACACCATTTGTAACCAGCAAAGCTTCGCTCTTGCTTCTTGCATTTCACTCTTCCTCTTGTCCTTTCTTCGGATGCGATCTCAGAAGCCAGATTATGACGAGCACAAGCTCTTCGAAAGCTAGTACTGTTCTTGGCAGGACGAAAGAGAGGCAGTTGGGTTGGCAGCTTTGAAGTTGCATTTGGGCCTGTCACATGATGTCACTGCCAGTGGGTTATCTGAGCTGTTGAAATAATTCCTCTTGACTTGGCTGTCACTGAGAGAAAGTTAAGCTTTCTTCTGTGTGTGAATGAGGTTGCACAAATCTCTTGAGTAGGAGCTTTTATATGAAAAGAAAATGGGGAATCCCTGCAGCCTGTATGAATTTGAAATGCGCTGCAAATTCACAGCCTGACCTGCAGTTCTGTAATAAAATGCAGAGTTGAACATTTGAAAAAAACCCTCTCATTTTCTAAGCCACACATCTATGGCCTGATTTTTATGCTGCTGTTTTCTTCGGCATCCTCACAGCATCTCCCTCACTTCTGAAAGGTAGTCGAGGCTGACATTTCCCTCTGTGGCTGCTGTCACATATGAGCCATGAGCCCCACTGAGCTCTCCTCGGTAAGCAAGTAGCATTTGGGTGCATTTTTCTTTTGTAACCTCAGAGCCTGCCTTAGTACACCGTGTGATGCCCACCCACCGCCCAGTCTCTCCTGCAGCATTGTTTTAGATAAAAATGCTGGTCTCACTCTACTGGCGTGAGATTTTTAACACCCGGGGCTCCCGTCTATCTGACAGTCGTTATTCCAAGCCACTTAGAAGTCAGGAGAGGTGCTTTGAGGTATGCCTTCTCTTCTAGTGGGTCATGAATTTTTACAGCCATCTGCACTGTGTCTTATTTAGCACTGCATTGTAGAGGCATTGCAGTCACAAGTGGGCCCTCTGACACTTCTTGTCCTCTTGGTGATAAGCAGTAAAGCGCAGCTGTGCTCTCTTGACTGCAATATTGTAACGTTCGCTATTTCTTCTTTCTTGTTTTTAATGATTTGGACTGCCCATAATTTCAGCAGATATGCAGTAAAATATCAAGGATTGTTACTTTTGTGATATAACTTACCATTAAAGACAAATGTATTTTGAAAGACATATATACTTTAAAACTGTTTCAGAGAGCATTGAAGGACACAATTCTGCAAAAAAGTGAATAACTATACTCAAATGAGTTCACCTTTCCACTACTACCCAACTGAGTGAATTTAATCACAAAGATAAATAGTTTAACATATGAATTTACTTGGAGGAGGCAAAAAAAATATTTTGGGGAGCTGTTAATTTTTTTGCTAAATTACTTCAGACCTGGGTTTTCATGAGGTTTTTCTTTATTTCAAGGGGGTTTCTAGGGTTTTTCTCCCAATGTTTTAACTTATAAGACCAAAATCCAAACAACTTCTGTGCTATATCAGGGCCTGTAGTGATAAGACAAGGGGTAATGGGTTTAAATTGAAAGTGGGAAGGTTTAGATTAGATATCAGGAAGAAGTTCTTCACAGAGAGGCTGTGGAGGGACTGGGATGGGTTGCCCAGAGAAGCTGTGGATGCCCCATCCCTGGAAGTGTTCAAGGCCAGGCTGGATGAGGCTTTGAGCAACCTGGCCTAGTGGAAGGTGTCCCTGCCCGTGGCAGGGGAGTTGGAACTAGATGGTCTTTAAGGTCCCTTCCAATCCAAATGATTCTATGATTCTATATTATGATTCTTGTTGGATAAAATCAGGTATTTTTATTGTGGTCCTGCAGAAAATAACAGACCTGCATCAGTATTTTGTCTTCTACATATTTTACACATACTATTACCCTTTGTGCTTGGACAAAGCAAAAATTGATATCAGAGTAGTGATTATTGTGATTTTAAATAATGATTATTAAAAATGTTTAAAGTCCTCTCCAGTAAAAATGAAACTGCTGCAATCTTTCTGTCAAAGTCAAGTTGTGCCATAACTTCAATGGGAATGAAATACACTCAGAGAATGGTACTTGGCCCTTTCTTGTGGGAAATAATATTCCTTTCAGTATTGTGATATAATGGTGAGGATATTACTATGTTGGTAATCGCAGTATTCATTGTTACATTGCTGAGATTCAAATATCGCATTTTCTCTCATTTGCTTAATAACTTGTATTTTTGGTAAAAGGGTGGGAGAATTAGCATTCATTGGTGTTTCATAATACATTTAATTCTTGGGAATAAAGGACCATCTTTTCAAGTCTTTAACCAAGCCAAATTTGTTGTCCAAATTGACCAGGGAAAGACAGTCTAGTGGACTTGTTGCCTTTGTCTTTCTCTGCTGTTGCTTCTGATCTGCGTATTACGGATTTACCAACAGAACTGGCAGAGCTGTGAAGGCATCACCTCAGCACTAAAAAGCACCTGCATTCTGTGGTCATGGCCATCACTGGTTGAAAAAGACATTTCCATTGCATTTTTGTATATGTGCAAACTGTCATCCCCTTTGAGGAGTGGGTGTGCATGTTGACAGTCCATCAGTGGCGGTGCTTCCACTCACTGCGTCTCATCCAGGATTTGCTTGAGAGTTCCTTAGTGTCTTTTCTCCTTGCAAAAAGAAAACACAGGCATAACAAAGCCTCGCCCGTGTAAGGACTTGGAAAGATGGCCCAAAGTAGCTGTTTCAGTCAATAATGAGACTCGTTTCTCAATAACTGTTTTCAAATGTTTTAAATGGTGCTGCAATTTATTCCAAATACACTGAGATGTATGTCACTCTTAGGGGGTATCCTATCCCTCTCCATCAGTGACTGACCCTACGCTCACGGCAGAAGCACTGGATCAGACCATTGCTGCGTTTGACACGGTGGAGGATCTGCTCAAACATTTTAACCCTGACTCCTGGCAAGAAGATCTTGAGAATTTGTACACAGACAGTGGCCACCATTATCGAGGCAGAAGCTACCATGACAGGAAGTCCAAAGGTAGGCAAAGATACTTTATACATACTCTGGGACAAGACCAGGCTATTTCTTCACTCCTCATAGAAATGTCCATTGGTCAGGTATTAGATTCTCATGCCCGTGTTCCTGCTGGAGTCACAGGGCAAGGTACCACCTATTAAAACAGGAATAAGTCATTTAGTCCTTAATCATTTTCTGACTGAGTAGGATCTTGCCTGATAAATCTGACTGAAAACTGCCCATCGTTATTATGAATTCAGATACAGAAACTTAGGCCCCTGTGTAAAGGACAGATGGTTCTCAGCTTCACCCTCTTAAACATTGCTTTGTGTGTAAGGCATGGGGCTCCTAATCACCTGCACTATCATCCTCCTTTAAATACCCTGCTTAAGGATTGTACTCTGTTGAGTGAGAAATAATCACTTTTATCACATTGTGCTTAGAGAAGCATCTGGTGCAGACACCTGTATGTGCAGCTGTTTTTTCAGGATGTGAACATCTCTCTGTTTTTCATTATGTTGGCAAGTACATATTATGGTTTAACATCTTTTTCTGTAATTGAGCAAAGCACACATTTCTGGGTTACGTTTCTTGTTTCCTTCTGTTAGTTCAAACCATCCACCAAATGGTAAAGCAAAGGGATGTTAAGCTAGTAGAACAAACCCATAATGCTAAAGAAACACTGTTTAGAAGAGACAGTCATGCTCTGGGGTAACCGTGCACTGAAGGGCCTGATGAAATTGCTCTTTATGTCGAAGGACAGATCTCGGAGGTCTGTTAGGGTTCTCCAAGATGTCAGTTGCTGTAGTTTCACAGAAGACCTGGAGTAAAATATTTTGAGTTCTCTTGTTAATATTGTCTTCCATTTCCAAGTTATCTACTCTTATGCAATCTTTTTTATAACTTTAAAATTATAATGACCAAATCACAGTTCTGATTCTGTGCATTCCACCATTTATTTGCATCTCAAATCCCACCACCCCCAGATTAAGCCAGTGCTAAGCAGGGAGAGAGGATTTTAATTCAATGCTATATGTCATCGTCAAATGATGAGGCTTTGATCTTAAAAGGGATATACGGCCGCATCTGTATTAGGGAAAATAACATCAAGGAGTGTTCCCAGGCCCTGAAATCCAATCACCATATTGCTAAATTGGCAGTCTGGCCTCTGCTTAGTTTTGGCCTAGGCCAAGTGTCATTCTCCCAGGTGCTGGGCATGAATCAGGAGTTGGCAGAGGCCAGCTGCCATTCCTGGTGGGTAGTTTGCACATGGCCACCTTGCCTTGGAGTGTAAGAGGTAAATGGTAGGGATGTGGTCTATCCCATGGCCGTTTTCCTTTGTGCAGGAGAATGACCTCAGGCACATACAATGTATTAGTAGATACACAGCCAACTTCGTGCACAGTTTCCAAGACATGTTGCCTGTATCTGGTTTTGGGCTCAGCACTTCAAAAGAATCTGTGATAAAGCCCTGAACACCCATCCAGTGAAAACTAAACCTCTTTACTTCATTCCCTTTTGGCATGTCAAAAATTTCAGGCAACCTGTTTTGTGAAAAATGTCAACTAATTGCCATTGCGTCACTTGTCAGGTAGAGTTTGATCTCATTTAGGGGTCTGTGAAACATGATCTGTGAGTTTCTTATTCCCAGGCTGGATTTGACACCAATAGACATGTATATAAAAGAAATAAAAGGTCTGTTTTGATTTTAATATAAACTGATTAGAAACCTGGCTTCTGTACTGGTTTTGCTCTCCAGTTTTAATTTAATTCTCAGATCATATTTGGCCTAGTACCCCATATATTTAAATGACCACATTGATAAATAATACAGCATTTCGCTTTATTAATGCTGGCCTTGTAGGCTAGAGGTGTCAATCAGATCTGATAGTGCTTGGAAAATTCAGATGTGTAAATGTTTCTTCATTTACAATTGTTTGAGTTGGAAGGGACCCCAAAGATCCTATAGTTCCAACCCCCTGCCATAGGCAGGGAGACACCCCACCAGACCACCAGGCAGCCCCAAGCCCCATCCATCCTGGCCCCGAACACCTCCAGGGATGGGGCAGCCACAGCCCCTCTGGGCAACCTGTGCCAGTGCTTCACCTCCCTCTCTGGGAAGAATTTCCTCCTGCTATCTAATCCAAATCTCCCTGCTTTCAATTTAAAGCCATTACCCCTTGTCTGTCACTTCAGGAAAAAAAAGTCCCCCTCAGCTTCCTTGTAGGCCCAGAGATCCAAACACTCAACACACGAGTTGAGTTACATTTAGTATAAATTAATTTCAGCTTCTTGCTTAGCAAAACAATGTAAAAAACATAAAGAGTTTTCCAGGTATTATTTTAACACTTGATTTATTTTAATAGGGTTTTTGTTGTTGCTTTGGTTACAGGAATAAGAAAAAAAGCTTTTCTTTTGTCTTCAAGCTAAAAGCCAAATTCCCTGACTGTTAGCAGCCCTCTGGACAGAAGTACTTCACCACAATCAAACCCTTTAAAAAATCAGTTAAGAATTTTTATTTAGTCATAAGCTTATGACAAGATTAAAGGCTTGTTCTTGAATGATGTCAGGAGTAGGGAATAGCTTTAACAAATCCTTAAATTAGAAATGCTTGGTGGTTTTTAAACACAGACACTGTGGATCTCTGAGGAATGTTTATAGGCACCGGGATAACCTTGCAGCAAAGAAAGCAATAGATTATATCATCATTTATTTCAGATATCTATCTGTTTCTGCTTCCAGTTTAGGGTTTATTTTTTATTCTTAGTTAGAACAGCCCTGAGGCAGATAAGAACAATTTGATGTAATCTCTGCCTGTCTTTCACAGCCTTTTCAGAACACGTTACATAAATGGTAGAAATGAATCACTAATGGTTTCGCTGCTATCCGACTCTTTGCCCATACCAAACTTTGCCACAAAATTGAGCTTTAGAGGTAGTGTTGCTGAATACCAATTCTGATAACAGGTATAGTTGATAAATGATATCTAAATGGTATGTTTTCTTAATTTGGCAATCAATAATCTGCAAAGATAAAGATCAGGGTCAAGGAAATAAGGAGTACCGTATTTTAGCATAGCTAAAACTCACAGAATCAGACCGGAAGAAGTGGGAAGGCAGCTCAGCAGTTTGTCTAGTCCAACCCCCCTGCTCAAGGCACGATCATCAATAGCAGGTTCCTTGGGACGATGTCCAGACATGTTTTGTACATCTCCAAGGATGGAGACTACACAACCTCTCTGGATAACCTGTGTCTGATCACCCCCTGAAGAAACAGAAAAAAAGGTGCTGGTATTTTTAAAATATGAGTAGGTTTCCATGTGTTAAAGTTTGAGTCCAGTACCTCCTGTCCTTTCAGAGACGACTCTGGCTCTGTGTTCTTTACTCCCACCTATCATGTATTTATACATATGTACAGATTGATCCCTCCCTGGATGCCTCCGCAAGAGCCTTAAAGATGGAGTGTATGTTGATTAAATCTATATGTATGATAACTCCATTCCATCTACAGAATCTGATCTCACACCTCTACAACACTGATACAACTCTATTATAGAGTTAAATATATTTCTTTCTATTTACACCAATGAAGTGAGGTACTGGTATCAGGTGTGTCTCGCCAATAAAAACACAAGGTTTGAAATTTAATTCTACATATGTTCAGTGAGGTATGCTGTTAAACACTCCAGTAAAAGTTAATTATAGAATCACTGTGAACCCCAGGCTGGCAGAAAAGGAGAGAAAAGAAAGGGGAACACTCAGCATTCACATTTTCAAATCCTTAAATGAGTGGCCTTGTAAAAGCTATAAACTACAGTGTACACCTCCTACATGAAAATATGACAAGTAGATGTTTCAAATAACCTTTGCAGCAGTTGTAAATATACTCAAAAAGTTTGCTAACCATTGCTATATTTTAGAAACTCTGAAAGTCTGAATATTCAGCCTTAAGCTCATCCTAGACTTAGGAAAAAAAAGCAGATCATACCAAATAAATTATATAATTTTAAGGAATTCCTTTTGCATTGCAGTAATATGTTGTAGCTGATCTCAGTGTCGTAGTGATTTGGCTATTACAAATATAGAGCATCTCTAACAGGATATCACTGGCTATTGGGTTGTTAAATACTGTTCTTAACAAGATCACAGGTAGATATAAAAAAGGAAACAGGCATACTTTACAATTATTTTGATCTTCCAGACAAATAGGTTTCTATTCTTTTAGAGAATCATAAGGAGCATCCAGGCATGTTTGAAGGAAACCTCTTCATCCTACAGTTTAAGTTTTTGAAAGTGTCAATGTATCTGCTTGATATTAGAAGAGCTCCTCAGAGATACTGATGTAAACAGTTCCAACCATCAATTAAACATTTTTTAACTTTTCCCATATGGTTGTTTGCATTTATCTTTTGTTGTTCACTCTGAAGTTTTACATGCCATTGAAAAAGGCTTTATAATTTTAAAAAAGACCTCTGCCTGTGAAATGGCTTGTGTACAAATGAAGAAAGTAATGAGAAGGAAAGAGTTCACTGTTTCTCATCATTGAAGACAGAAGTGGATTCAAATGTCTGGGGGATAGTACCTAGAGAAAGGGGTCATCTTTAAAAAGGAATGAGGGGTTTTTGGGGGTTTGTTTGGTATTTTTGGTTTGCTTTGTTTTATTTTGTTTTGGCGGGTGGGTTTTTTGTTTTTGGCTTTTTGTGGGGTTTTTTTTTGGTGTTCCCCCCCCCCCACAAATAAACCTAGGAATCAGGAACACATGTAGATAGGTACATTCTGGTAATTAGCAAGACTACACACGCCTCTGAGATCAATTTCCTTTTTGGAAATAGTATGCAAGAAGCCTTTGGCTATCAGAAGAAATTAATCAGGTGGGACATTCTTACAATAACATCTGTCTGCAATGACAGCTTTACCAGTTAAATAAGCACTTGCTGACATAGCCACACTGCTCTCTGGAAGGGGAGCAGCAATATGAGACCACAAGTCTTCATGGAATGTTTCTGCTCTCCATTGCCAAAC